CCACAGTGGGTCCCGGGGGTCAGCGGGCCCCGCCGCGGGGTTCCGGGGGTCGACACCCCACCCCGGCTTCCGCCCCGGGGTGCCCCGGGTGACAACACTGCCCGTCACCCTAAGATCGGTATACAGATCGTCTCCCGGTCCCCTGTTAATTCTCATGCCATCCCGCAAACATTCCACCATCATGAACGCCTGACCTCTTCCCAGGGTCACGGCCCTCCATTCGATGTCCAATCCTTGGATCATGTAGCTTGCTGGGAGCGATACCTCCATCCGCCTGCACTTTTCGTGGGTGGCCGCGGGTGTGTGGACCGTCACAACATCCGAGCGCGTCTCATCGCCATTTTTGACTTAGTAGTCCCCTGCACAGTTTAAACAGCAAGCGGTTTTACTTATTTCATTTAATCTTCAGCTCCCGCCCGAACACTCCCCGGTTTCTAGCTTGAACCTTCCTTTTCTTTCCTTGACCTCTTTTATTGGCCCGTCCCTACGTCCATCGGCTCATACAATCGGTACAGATCATCCACGTACACCATCCCTTGACTTATTTCCCGTCGGATGACACCCCACAGGACCTCACTTCCCACGACCGGAGCCCTCGGCCTGGTGCTAAACACAGCATGCAGGATGCGCAGCACCTCGTACTTCTGCTCTCCACTTATCAGGCCCATTTCTAGGAAGGCCCGATAGTATTCTCGATGTACCATCGCATCTCCATATGTCAGGCTTGCGAGGTCGGCTACCGCTTGTCTAACAAGCCCCAGACCGCCCAGCCTTTCCAGCAGGAAGGGCGACAACCTCATTCGTACATTTTCACTAGGCAATTCGAAACTCCAGACCATGGCTACCCTAAGGTCCGCTGTTACATCGTCAACCCCCGGATCTGCGAACTCAAATCCCGCTCGCCATACTAACTGCCATGCCCCTTCAAACATGCTCAACGGGTCTTCTCCTGATGCCAGCCGAACTCCGAACTCCCTTCACACATGCTCTGATACATACAGTCGTCCTTCTGCACGCACATGCCCCCGCGGGTTCGGGTTCCATTCCCTATTCTCATCCGCACGCCACTCAACTTTCGTCACCAAGTAAACCATATTTTCCACAAGCTCGACCCCGACCCAATCTGCCACCTGGTGCCAGCCTTCACTTGCTGCCGGCAAGCTAACCTTTACCCCACCCGGTACTTTCCTAGGCGGTTCAATGCCCAAGGGGCGTTCCTCAAGGAACGTCCTTCTTCGCGCCATCGCACACTCGCCTTTGATCTCCTGGCTCGTGATCCGCACTGAACCCTACAATGGCCAGACATCCCATTCCCTTATCTTAGCAATTTTTCCCATATTTGCTTGGCCCCACGGCTTTCCCGCGTTTAGTCGAACCACAGTACCTCGAACAGTTTGAACACATCATCCACATAGCAAGGTGTTGTTGCTACCTCACGGCGGATTATGGCCTCCCTAGTTTCCGGGGCCACCTCCTGCCAGTCATACCTTTCAATGTCCAAAATGATAAGGACCTCCCGGGCTCTATCACCGTGGAAGGGCCTGAATTTCAAGGATGTCCTATAAAATTCCTCTGCCAGCCATGCGCAGTCCACGTGTATTCGTTCCATCGTGTCGGCTACCTCTGTTACGTGATCAAAGCCCCCAAACCAGTCTGCCACGAACTCGGGCACCCAGGTCTTGGTTTGGGTGCCAGGCGGTTTAAATTCCTTCCACCCTCCCATCACGACTCTACTGCTGACCGTATCCCAACCCTGGTTGGCGAACTTTTCCCCTGCCTGTCGAACCCTTGCCTCTGCGTCCCCAAGGAGCCACATCGGATTCTACCCTGCCGCAAGCGTCGTGCAGAACAGGTGCCAACCTTGTTCAGAGAGGACGATCGTTCCAACCGATTCCACCCTACCTTCCGCAATCTCCTCCCATCCTTCCTCTTCCCTCAACGGGTTCCAAACACGTTCTATTCATAGGTATGACAGTTCGGACACAATTTCATACCCCCGCCAGTCACATGTAGTCCCCTTCCCCTCATTACTTGGTGGTATAGACATCTCTACTCCCCTCCCGATTCGTTTTGGTTCCCACAAGCAGTCCCATAGCTCGAGTTCCCGGGCCATCGCTTCTTACCTGCACATAATCGACAGCCCGTTTCCCAGATAAGTCCCTCCATCCGTTTCAAAAGTCCCAGTCCTCTATCTCGTCCCCGTCCTCGTCATCACTGAAATCCCCCTCCTCGTCCAAGAACAACTCTTTCACTCCCTCCAGGAAGGTTTCACCCGCCGCCACATTCCGGTAAACTATCTGCTAGTGCACTGGGCTGGGAACAAAGATTTCGTCCGTGCTGAGGAGGTTTAACACCTTAGCTAATTCTTCCGCCCAGTTTCCTTCAAACGGCCCTGCTTCCACCGACAGCCTAAAGAAGTCCTGTCTAGCACTTTGATACAGCCTCAGGCGCGTCATCAACCGGCATATCCGTTTCAATCTATCCCTGGTTCCGAAGACAGCATCCACCAGAAACGGGGGTAACACACACCTCATTGTCCTAAGGGGCCGCCTCATATTTCCCCTATCCCCAAGTTCCACTCGCACCTCCATCCTTTCCATCTCCATTTCCGCCCGTTGACATGCTGCCCATATCACCTCCCGTTCCGCTTGCTTAAACAACTGTTCTGGTGCCGTGCCCAATACTAGTCCCACTACCATTGCATTTTCCATTTCCTGAGATACGTAGACCCATCCTCGAGCTTCCACTGTTCCCCGGAACTCTGGGTCCATCAGGCTGGGTGAAAGTCTTGTCAGGCTGACCTCAGTCCTGGTTGTCTCTATCCAGAGGAACGCGTCCTTCTCGTCCAGCATCACAGTTTCATAAGCTGGCTCCAGGTCGGTCCACGTCCCTTCTTTCGGGAGAACAACAGACACCCCCTCCCTTACGTCTATAGGCATTTCCGTGCCACTAGAGTAGACAGGAGGTGACAACCATCGCGCCATCCCATTTTTCCGGTGCCAGTCCTGTTTCCACATGAGAGCACCACACGGCCCTTCATGGTCAGATGGTTTTCTTTCCTTTTTCTAGATGAGAGTTGTTTTCAGGCCCCTCATCTGGGCCTCCCTAACCTTTCCTATCCTTTTCCAGGCGCCATTGCGCTACCATACCCCCAATCGATCACCAGCCACGCGCTTTCCTCTTTTCTTGGTTCCACTTTCTTCCGACTCCTAGCCAGCCTCTTCCTCATGTTCTCTCACTCGTGCAGACTTCGGCAGGGGTTGAGAATAGACTAGAAACTCGGTCCCCATCCAACATTCATCAGGCAACTTTACAGAGGGAGGCACAAAAAGCAAAACTCAGGCAAACGTCGCACACAGGTCGGTCATCTCCTCACCGACCTTTTCCCCGGAAATGGTCTCTCCACTGTTACTATCGGCAGGGCTTTACACCATACCTTAAGCACAGCTCAACCGTCGCGAGCGAGGTACCGAGACTCCAGTGGGGGGTCGCCCTCACCTTCTTGCCCAAAATACCCCATCTCGACTTGCCGCTCGTGTACCCACCGTTAATCTCGGGAATCACCCCTCACATCTCGGTAGGGCCATTGGAGCCAGCCGTCCAGGCACTCACTTCCATTGGTCCGATAAGGAACACCCTTTTTCCAAACCAGGCTACGAGAAGCTACTGATCGCCTCCCAGGCTCCGTCTTTGCCCCCATGCAGTGGTGCTCCCTTCGCCAGTCCACAGGCTAGGCCCCGCCTGAGGAACGTTTCACACACCGCCCGACAGATCAATCGAGCCGAAGCCCGTCACCGCACGGACGAGAATGCTAATAAGCACTCGACGTGACAAACTCCCGTTAGACAGCTCGGTGGTCTGACCCCCGCACACGAACAAACGACAGTTTGCAAAGAGAACGATGTTTGGCAACCCGCAGTGGCCGGTGCAGACCCCACCTTTCCTTCCAAATAGCAGGACGCTCAATATCCCCATCATGCAAGCACAAGCCCCAAGTGGGACACACATAACACAAGTGCCTTTCCCCCGGTGCACCCAACGCTTCCTCCCCGTTGCTCATAGGTTTTCACTCAGGACAGTGCGTGCCTCGCACCCCTAGCTTCCATACATAGTGTCCAGTCCTTTTTCGTGAGCATCTTCAAAGGTGAGCTAGTTTTCTTGGAGTCTAACAGCTCCATTCCCCTTATCTTCACTTCATGTGTCCGCTCATAGGGCAGGATTTTTCCTTCTCGATTACCCTTTGCATTCATATGAGGTTCCTTCAAGCATTAAGTGTGGTGCATGGAGCCCGCTGGGCTCCGGAGAAAAGGAAAGAGAGCACCCGTGTCGGTCGGATCACTCCGCCGCGGGATTTTCATTGGAACCCGGACTAGCCCGGAATCCCAATCGCCTGCCAGGTAACCGGAGCCCTTCTTTCACACGAAGAGGAAGGGTCGACCTGCGGCTTGCCCAAGGTTTCCCCGGTCTGACGAACATCAGCCCGAAGGAAGGAGGACTAGAGTCACCTCCAGGGGAGATGGCTGATCAAGCGTGCGAGCATGCATGTTATTCCTCCAGGCCTGGCCTTGCCATGCGCCCAACCACCCTCAAATTTGATTCACTCAAGGGATAGAGCATACACAAATCCATATTCCTTATCTTCATGTTTTATGTTCACGGTCATGCGTCGGGCGCCCCCCTCGAGACCGTATGGGTCAGTTTAACCCAATACCCGGCACCTCCACCATTTTTGTAGGGGCCGTACCCTGAAGGACTTTCGAGCCTTGGTCGACCCCACTGCGGGTCCCATTTGGCTCGACCCGCCCACGCTCACGCTCAGGGCGCGGGTCGTTCGTCCCAGGGGCACCCCCACCTAGTGCTATGAGATGGATGGGGATGGGCCACTTGCGAGAGGGCTTTACATTGGGGGATGTAGCTTCGCTCTCGCGTCAAGATGGTAGCTCTTTGGTCACTCGCGGCGTTTTTTTGATTCAGTTAAGTCTGACAAGGCAATTGCTCTTTCCAATACTCAGGCAGTCCAGGGAGTTCATTGAGAATTTGTCTTCTTACCGTGCGCAGGCCAAGCGTCATCCATTGGGCCACGCACCCTTTCACTAAGTCTAGTGGCTCGGGACAGCCCCGGCAGCATCCTTGGGGCGAGGCGGCGGCGCCTGGGCCCCGACCGCTATATTTTTTTTGCGAGAGCCACTAGCATCTCATCCACCTATCCAAGGCAGCCCTTAGTCCTTCCAGGCTTGCTTTGCATTCTCGAGAGAGCCTTTGCATTCAATCATCACGCAACCACATCCAAGCGTCTACCATTTGTCCAAGCATCCGACCACCCGACCATACAACCCATCCCGCATCCACAACTTGTGCGAGGTCCGAGTCCATTCCTCAGCCAATTCTCCCACCCTAGTCCTCATCCGTGGTTCCAGCCCTGTCCAAATCGTCCCAGGCTACTCACCTGCGCAAGACCACACAAGACAAATAACCAAGTACGATCTCCACTTGGTCAACACATCGCCCCTTCCCGCAATCCTAGGCCCCCTTTGCCTTCCCCTTATGAGTTCCCTTCCCTTTCCCACAAGCAAGCCATGCAATCGCCTTAGTCATGCAGTCCGGAAGGATGGTTGAGTCAAACTGACCTTGTTACAAAAACAACACTCCTTTCCGTTGTCACAAATGTTCTCAATAGTCTCCTATCCTTTCCTTCTTGGTGGCACAAGGGACCGGCAACCCTTCCCTTGCCCTCGCTTTCCACCAAGTGAGAATCAAGTTCCTTTCTGTTCGTTCCCTGGCAATGTAACAGGTGAGGGTAGAGGTTAGTCACATGCCATGGAGGGGAAGGGGTGACAGAAGGGTTAAGGGTTAAAGAGTTCTGAAGGAATGGAGGAAGACGGAGGGAGAGAGAGAGAGAGAGAGAGAGAGAGAGAGAGAGAGAGAG